ACTTTTCACTGAGCTTGAAAAGCAAATGCCAGTTTATGGTTTAATTCACCCTCGCTTCGGATTTCTTTTCTGTCTTCCTGGAATGAATTATACGTAAATGATGCGGACAAATTATTTTCAAAAGAATGTCTTCATTTCAAGAGCTTCTTCCCACTCCAATTGACATTGGCTCTGATAAAACTAAATAAAAAAGTATCTGGATTTGCTTTTGGTTATTCGATTAAAAAAGCTTGAACGTATACTTTGCAATATCAATGCTATTCTAACGACATTTTTTTCTGCTGTTGTTACAAACTATACAGGAGAAAAGTTCATTTCAACTTTAAAAAGGCTAAAAAAATGCTGTCAACTCTAGCCGTTCTTCAAGTTAAAAATGTTAGTAGAAAATAATTTAATAATTATTTTGATATTTTATAGAAATTTCAGTTATTTTGATATTTAAAAAAAAGTTAAGTTAACAGAAGTTAATAAATATAAAATAGCCGTTCTTTAAGTTAGAAATGCTAAAGAAAACAAAGCGGACATGATCGATCATTTCCTATTTAAAGAACTACAGCAAAATAGTTTATCTACTCAATAGTATTACTATGTCATCAAGATGAAAATAATGAATCTCTTAGAACTTATAATTCAACATATTTTCAGCAGAAAAAATAAGGTTCATCAAATAACCTTATAAAATAAACGTGTTTAAGTACGGATATATATATATATATATCCGTATATTATATATATATATATATATATATATATATATATATATATATATATATATATATATATATATATATATATATATATAATATAAACGTGTTTAAGTACAGATATACATATATATATATATATATATATATATATATATATATATATATATATATATATATATATATATATATATATATATATATATATATTATACATATATATATACATATTATACATATATATATATATATATATATATATATATATATATATATATATATATATATATATATATATAAACAATCACCCAATCTACTGAGAACACTTACTTCTTCAAAAATTCAATCAACCACTAAAGAAGTAGGATTATCTAAATGCAATGATAATCGTTGCAAAATATGTAAATTCTACCTTCAAAAAGTTAAATCATTTACGACATCAAATCGTACTATATGGAACATAAAAAGCCATATTACTTGTATTAGTAAGAATGTAATATATTGTTTAAAATGTTTGTCATGTAACAAGAAAGCTACATACACCGGAAAAACAAATAACCTACTAAGACTTCGCACTAATGGGCACATTTCTAGTTGTAGAACTGGGCAATCAACAGATAGGTTTGATAACCATGTATACAATTGTCAACGTGTGCATAACTCCATTATAGAACCTTTTTTCCAGTTTTTTGTGTTTGTGGAGCTGAAAAATGAAAAAACCTTGACATTACAATATAGATTACAATAGTTGCTAACAGCAACATTAAATAATTATCATTTCCTGTTTTTTAAAAAAAATTATATTTTGTTGTTATAATAACAAAAAACAGCACTACTGATGATTTTTTGAAAGGCCTCTTGTGCTAAAATTTCTAATTAGAGTAATTTTTGTAAAATTAAAATAAGAAAATATTTCGTTTATTGTTTATTTTGTGGTACGAATATACATATATATATATATATATATATATATATATATATATATATATATATATATATATATATATATATATATATATATATATATATATATATATATATATATATATATATATATATATATATATATATATATATATATATATATATATATATATATATATATATATATATATATATATATATATATATATATATATATATATATATATATATTATTGTTATTATTATTATTATTATTGCTATTATTATTACTATTAATTAATTTTTTTTCTATTTCTTTTGTAGATGAGGAAGGGGGAACTATGATTTCGGTGGGTGACAAGGAAGACGCAAAGACGGACGTGCTTATTTCACCACACTCTTTTTCTTAATCCTAAATCCGCATCAGATTTAGTATTAAAGTCGCAACGTCATATTTAAATAAACCTACATCTAAAAAACAAAGTTACTAACCCGTATTCTTTATAAACGCATGTCAAATAGATAAAACTTAAACATCAAAAGTTATAAATTATTAACAAAGCTATAAACTATTATAAACTATTATTATAAACTATTAACAAATCATGCATTTATAATGCAATTATTTATAACTAAAGATAGGCCGATTCTCCCGATTCTCGCGACTCTCAAGGAATCGTGAGAATCACGATTCTCTACCTTTTTTAACGATTCCGATTCTTTTTAAAATGAATTTTTAACGACTTTAAATCTTTTATTAAAACTCCCTTGATAATTGAAAAAAAATACACTCTTTGGCGTTGTGATTTTTTTTTTGTTTAATTTGACGATGGCTGAGAAAGCTGTTACTTTATTGATCTGTGAGTTAAATGCACTGGACATTAAACGAAGGTCTTGAAATTAAAGTTGCTAAAAATCAAAAACAAATCACACCTGCTCCAGATGCTGTCTGGTCATTATATAACCAAACAATCAACGCAAATTCTGTAGTAAGTATTGCTTCTATATTATTATTGCACCTTAAATATTCCAAAATATTTGACAGAGGGCTGTTACCCCAATTAAGAACACAAAATAATTAATAAAAATATAAGTAGCCTCCTCTCCTTGGGCCTTGGGGAGGGGAATAATATGAAAAAAAAATTAAACTTTTTTAAAATTATTTTAGATACATACTGCGTATTGCACGTATATCTGACGAAGAAGCAGTGTACTTGAAAGAACCTCTACTTGCAAGTCACAAAGATCTGTTTGATTACTGGAGGAAATCCAATTTTTTTAATATGAAAAAACTAGCCCAGAAATATTTAGGGACGCCTCTACGTACAGTGTTTTCGTAACGAGTGCAAATGCTTGTGTTTTTGAACAAAAAGCTGCCGTTTCTAAACTATCAGTACTAATGGTAGTGACTTATGTATATGCTGAAAATACAACATTCTGTTTATCTGATCACTATCCATTACTTATGACTATATTATTTGTTTCTTATTAATAATAAGATTATACAAACATTCTTTATAGAATTTGTTATTTATTAATATGGTATTAGTTGAGTTGCTATTATCTCACAAGGCCGAAACGGTTTTAAAAATAGTAGGGGGTGGGAGTGTTGAGGAGCACACTCCCTTATTTTGAAAAAAAATCTTCATTTTCTAGGTTAATTTCTTGAAAAAAAAGTTTTCGATATATGATAGGTGTGGGTAGGGCATGCTCCCTAGAGCCTTAGTGTCGTTAGCTCTGTTTCACCTGTACCAATATAATTGATTTCAATGTTTTTATTCATAAAGTCTGTGTAATATTAAATTAACAATGCGTTGAGTTATTATATTAAAAGCACATCAGTTAAATTAAAGTGATAAAAATCACAAAAAAATCGGAATTGGTAAAGAACCGGAATCGCAATTGAGAATCGGAATCGGTATTTTTTGGTATCGGCCCATCTCTATTTATAACAATTTATAATGCAACTATAAATTTTTAATAATAACAGCAGTTTTAGTTTCAAACTTTTTAGATTATTTGACACATTAAAATTACGCATATAACTTTTCAGCATCATAAAAATCAGTCATCAAACAGTGTACACATAAATGCGTTTAAACGTAGAGCTTTTAAAAATAACTTTTACTGCAAAAGATTTTATTAAGAGCACTTATTATGCGCTGTTTGACTGTTTTTTTAGGGCGCGCAAAAATTCCACTTTTAATAATGGTCTATATTAAAACCGTAATAAAAATTTTAAATTTAGTTTTAAGTTAACTTATTTCTTGTTTTGTGAATATAACAAGTGTACGATATGAGCAGAGTAAAAAATAGTGATATTTAGTACCTATTTTTTATTAAAATTATTCTCGATACAAGTGCTAAATATATCTCTTTAGATAACTATGTACATAAATGCTCAAAAAAAACTTGTGTATGTACTTAAGTACTCGGCGATTAGCCGCAATCCTTACTAGTTTGCTATTTGTTTTCAAACTGAGAGAAGTTTTAGAATAAACTGATTTTTTTTTAAATCAGTAATTTAAAAACCTTTTTTTTTCAACTTCTATTGTTTAGGGTCAGAGAAAAACTAGCTATGTATTATTGTATTTATATTGTAGCTATGTATTATATTATTTATTTTTAAATTATTGCTAATTATAAAGTAAATTCTTATCACATAATAATGTAGTTACTATTTATGTTAACATTTAATTTTCAACCAAAATAAAAAAAAAAAAATAATAAAAAAAACAAAAAAAAAAAACTTTTAAGTTTATATTATTCAAAGTTTGACGCATTTTTAAGCTTTGAACGTCTGTATTAAGAATACCTATATAATAGACTTTATTCATGAAAAGCTGTTTCATAGTTTTCGAATAATTTAGTGCATTTATCCCCATAATGCGCGATCCTTCCATCGATTAGAAATTGTAAACAAGTTTTCAGTATTATTTAGTTTAAATGTCTAATGCCCTCTAAAAAAAGATAAATTTTTTGAAACCTTGACATTTAAAATACTGCATGATATAGATTCGTACCACATAACACTTTTTAATACCATATCAATTTTTTTTATTTTTATAGTATATATAAATATAAACATAAATATATATATATATATATATATATATATATATATATATATATATATATATATATATATATATATATATATATATATATATATATATATATATATATATATATATATATATTGTTTGAAATTATAATAATGAATGCTTTGAAATTTTTTGAATTGTGTTGACACAGCGCATTAGTTTCAAAACAGACATAAGCTTTTTCTTTCTATAAAAACTATATGAATATATGTACTTAGCTCACACTTATCTTAAGGCAAGTTCGATATTTAAAATATCGGTAATAAGTTGTTTTAGAAATAGAAATAAAATGATAATGATAACAAAAGTAATAATTATAACTTATAACAGTTTTAAAAATAGGTGAAAAAAATTTAAAATGTGTTCTGAGAACTGGTTATCTTCGTCTTATGTAAGTGGTTCGCAAAGCTATCCAGTTTTTAACTGTATGGATGATATTTGGAAGAACGAATTAACGAACAGATGGTGGGTTCTTTCTGCTTCAGCAGTTCCAACTTTCGCTTTGTTTATCCTAATATTTTCGTTTATAATCTATAGTCATTATAAAAACGAACAACTAATTGCTAAATACCGTATTTTGAAGGGAACAGATGCACGGGCTCCAAACCTAATAAGCATCCGTGAATACAACTGTATTGTTGAAATAATGAAAAAAAGCCAGAAAAGAAACAAAAAATTTATAAATTTTAATATAAATAACTTGCAGTCTGGAACGGAAGCGTTTAATCTGAAAACTAATCAAATTTTAGTGGAGCCCAAACTCTCAAGTAAGATGAAGTTTTTCGTTTGATTTTATCTAATAAAACTTAAACCCGATAAAAACGAATTTGATAAACGTAAACTTGAAACTAAGAGTTTTATCAACGTAATAAAATATTGAAATTTTGTGTAGTTACATTCACCAAAGTTTTTTTTTTTGCTTAACTTATTTGTATTGACATATATGTCTTGTCATGGCATATTGTAGACTTAATTGAGCTTGTCATATTCAGATGAGAATAAAGATTTTTTTAAATATTTATGACGAAAGTTTAATTTACCATATATTACATTTGGTAGTTTATTAACTTTATATTCATTACATCTTCAACAAACAAACAAAAATATCGTAGTCTTGTCTTGTTAAGTAGCCGACATTACTATAAAACTTTGTGAATAATTAATAACGATATTTAAGAAAAAACCTAAAATTATTAATTATAAAAGGTATTCAGCAAGATTCAAAATAAGTATCGAGTATTGTCCTAGATACATTTTACTACGTCGTTCAGTAGTCTTACTAACGCTCTTACTTACTCTCTCCTCAAAAACTTATAAAAAGATAATCGTGAGTGAAAATATTAGTGATAATAATAATAAAAAATAACAATAATAAAATTTTAATAATAATGTTGTTTTAAATTTAATTATTATTTGAATTGAATGCATTAAATATTGAAAATGAGTTTCTCTTGGTATGATTTCTTTAACTTTGTTTTGATACAAAACATAAGTTGGTATTTAAATTTATTTCTGAGAAATTTGAAAATTGGTAATTTTTTATTTTTATTTATGCCTCAATCAAAGATTTTGTCTCGATATTTGTACAATTTGTCAATATTTGTCTCGATATTTGTAAAAACAAAAGTTTATCAAATACTGTTATGTTTTGTTTCGGGTTTGGGTTATTTTGATTATATATTTTGAAAAAACTTAGTAAGCTGAGACCTGAGAATAATACAGCGTATATACTATAAACTTTGTCATCGACTGAAATTGAGAATAATACAGCGTATATACTATAAACTTTGTCATCGACTGAAATTGATAATAATACAGCGTATATACTATAAACTTTGTCATCGACTGAAATTGAGAATAATACAGCGTATATACTATAAACTTTGTCATCGACTGAAATTGAGCTCGTTAATTGTTGATCTGATACTAAAATAGCATGGCTGTTCTTCACAGTACAAATAACCTTATTTTTAATGCAAAATAACTAAAAAATTTCAAACAGAATTGTTATTCTTAGGATTTAAAATGCATGATTGATTTTTCCATAGCCCGGGCTATGGAAAAAAGCGGGCGTCCGCTTCCATTTAGGAAGTTTTATTTTTGCGCCAGTTGCTTTTTTATTACATTTTCAGGTTATTTATACTTTTTAAATAGAATTTTAAATTAATTTTTTTTTCTTAAATTTTTAGCTTATTATATATTTAAGTTTTTTTGTCCCAAAAACATTTGTTATTTATAGTTTTGAATAATTTTATTATTTTTTCCAAACTCAAAATACCCAAAAAAAGTATTTACCAAAAATAATGTAAACAACAAGGAAATAAAGAAAACAATTGAGAAAACATAAACAATGATTTATTGTTACTAGATAAATTTAAAATATGACTAATCTCGTGAAACTTTGCACAATTAATATAGTTTTATTTACTAAAATAAAGCTTTAGGTAAAAGTTAATTTTAAAACGCAGTTTTTACTATCACTTGTATCAACTTACTCTTAACAAGGCTTTGAGTAACCACTATTTAGTTGAGAGTTACTAGCAAACAAAGAATTTTGTTAAAAAGCAAGGAAACAGTCGACAGAAGACTTACAAAGTTTTAGGTTGTATGAGTCAGGAAAACATGAAGATAGAACAAAGTTCCGAAGCATTGATATGCGAGAAAAACCAGGGGCGGGTTTTGCTACTTGCCAAGGAGGGGACTAAAAAGGTCGTCGTGATAAGAAAAAAAAAAGGTCCGCATATTTTCATTTATAAGTAAGTTTCTTTTTTAATTTTTTGTACTTTAGAGTAATAATCAAGTTCATACACGTATAACTACGTATAATAGTCAATTTTATTCGTCAGTATAATTGTAAAACTCTGTATAATAGTTAATTTATGAAAATATATTTGTGAAAAAAGTCCCAAGGAGGAGGAGAGGGGTTATGTACCCCCTTCTTACTAAAACCTGCCACTGAGGAAAAGACAAATATAATCCAAACTCTGAATCTTTTTTCGTTTAACGTGTGACTAAAATTAAATTTTATTGTTAATCTACAAAGCGGTAAAAGTTTAGGTTCTAACAATATTTCAAGATTTCATATTAAACATTTTATGTTTCTTACGTTGTACCCAAGTTTTCTCCGTACAATAAAGAATTTTTATTATATTTTAATTTCTCGCATTTTCAATATAAATCTTTTCTTGAAAAAATCTAAAACAAAACAAACTTTATAACTTCCTCGGTGTTTATTTAAACACAGACATTTTTAAAATGCATCAAATATGAATAAAAAAATACATCAGTTATGAAAATATATTTAAAAATCTTTTTTTTTTAATTAACTTCTATTTTTAGTTTAAATCTTAAAATTAGCACGAATGATTACATATAAAAAAATGTCTTGTGAGCTTAAAAATGTCCTGCTTGTGCGCGATAATTTTTACTGTAAAGATCCAGTGGAGCTTTCATCCGTTCAATGAAATATTTGATGTAATGAAAACGGCATAGGCTTTTGAGGTGATGCTTTAGTTTACTAATAATGAAAAGGAATTGTGGAATTATAAAACATTTTTGCAAAGTCTACCAGTGTCATGCCAAAGCAAAACGTACCAACAACCTGTTACATTCTAAATGTCTAAAGGGGAAACCTAAATTTGGAAGGGCAAAACTTATTCTGCCATCTGCCAAGAAGATCTTATTTTTTAGCAATCTGTGATTTTGATTACTAGCAAATTGATCTCTTTGATATGGTCATTAGCCTAATTAGACTTTAATTAACTACATGTTACAAAAATCAATAAAATGAAGGCCATCAAATTTCAGGCCATCAAATTTCAGGCCTTTAAATTTCAGGCTATCAAATTTCAGGCCATCAAATTTAAATAATGTTGTAGTAGTTCTATAAAAGGTTCACTAAAACAACAATCAAAATTTATTTCTTAACACTTCTTTCTTTGACACCTCTTTGCGTAAATAATAACTTTTTTAATGGGGATTTGACATCGTCAAGAGTGGTCATATAAACAATTGCAAGGCAAATTTAAAACAAGCCACCACCACAATCAACTTCAACTTTAACCAAGTTATCAGAAAATGCTTTTCGTTAAAGATAGCATTAGCTTGAAACAATAAACATTTTTGTTTTTACAGATGTCAGTGACACCATCAATGGAAGTGTGTGTGGGAAAAAATTTAACATTTATTTCAAAGGTTGAATTTTGAAATTAGATTAACTTAACCATTAAAATTTTGAAATTAGATTAACTTAACAATTGGATTTCGCTATTTCGCTGGACTTTAACTAGGTCTCCAGGAACCAGAACTTTAACCAGGTTAACATTTTTGGTTTATTAAAAAGCTTACGGTTACTCAACTTTCTTGCATCTAAATATAGCCTAAATTTATTAACAAAAATTTTTTTTTAAACATAACTAGAGTCATTATCCTTTAAAAAACCTAAAATGTACCTGGTCTTACTCTAAGAAATCGTCCATCCTGTGATTGTAAAATTTTGATAATTCCTTCTGGTGTTGCATCCTGTTTTTAATCAGCTTCAGAAACAGTTTGCGTGGCAGGTTGATTTTTTGTTAAGGTTGATTGTTGCAAAGTGACAAGTGCTTGACAACAAGAGTTAGGCAGTATGTGCAGCTCTATAGTGATTTTTTTTGTGAACTTTTAATGGTCTCTAACGTGCTTTTTAAAATTAGATTTGAGTGCTTTATTTGAAAAAATAATTCAAAATTGATCACGTATTTCAGGTCGAATTTTCATGATTGAAAATTGAGTTATTGTGAATTCGTTTTTTTCATGTTTTCTACAAATTATTTTTGACATGTCTTACAACTGTCTTAAGGAAATCTTGCATCACAAACATTAATATTTATATGATAGAGTAACAATTCTTTCTGCTTGAATTTCTTTAAAGGTGAGTTTTCACTCATGTTTTTCTACGGGAACGGGAAAGGGATGGGAAAAGTAATCACAAGAACATGCGTAATTTTCCTTTAGACAAATTAAAACTTAAACTACGCATGCTCAAATGATTATTTTTTCCTTTACTTTCCCGTTCCCGTAGAAAAACGGATGACAAGGGAACTCACCTTAAGATGTGTAGTATATTTTTTTCTAAATATCATAATATCTAACTTAATTTAGCATTTTGAATTAATAATGGTGTGACTGACAAACTTTAAAAAATGCTTTCGTTGAAAAAATATCATTAGGGAAAGTTCGCGAGTACTGTATTACGTAGTAGTACGTAAAAAAATATATCAAAAAGTAGACTATGACTAAAGCCTGACTGCTTCAAAATTACTTTGAGTCAGTTGTATGTTATTTTTAGATATTATTAGATTTTCTATGAAAAACTTTATAAAAAATATAGAAATGCGTAAAATAAATAAAAAAAAAGCAAAAAGATTTTTTAGAATAATTGTGTTAATTTTTTTTAGAAAAGTTTTTAGAAATTTATTTAGCAAAATATTAAAATAATTGTGTTAACTTACATAAATTGCATTTATGTAAGTTTAAGTTAAATAAAATTCTTGTTAGAAATCTCGTCATAAACAGTTCTCGGAGTAAATGTTGATGTTGTTTACCGAAAAAATTAATTTTTTAACAAAATCACTTAACTTACAAATAATAAATATTTCTTCACACGAAAAATATTCTATTTGTATATGGTCTTGATTTTAACTACCAGTTTAGTCGTATTAAAATGTCTAAGTTCAGGTCCCTGCAATTATATAATACACTGAGAGCTGTAGCTTCCATAAAAAATGTTGTTTTTTATAAAATTTCAACATTACAAATGATGGTTTTAATAATTTATTGCTATGCCTAACAAAATAAATAATATTTTAAGATGATACATGTATAAATATATAACAGTTTAAAATTAGGAAAAAAAGTGTTTTTCAATGCATTTACAATTTCGGCAATCTTATATTCTTAACAATTTATAGAAACGCCATCGGATCCAGCCAACGTTTCACTTGCAAAATTGCAAACAGCGTTTTCATTGTGACCTAAAACGTACGAGATTCACTACTCCCATAACTTCTGGTTCAATATATAAAGAAAAAAAAAGAAAAGTTTTTTTTTGATTTATATTTTTAATGGTTATTTTTGTTTTATTCTATTTTTCTGTTATTAAGATTTATATTATTATAATATATTATGCTCCTATGTTAAAATTTTATATGTATTCTTCAGTTTTTAAATTTTTAGAATTAATTTTTTTATATGTATCAATTTTGTTATATGTATCAATTTGTATCAATTTTATTTTATAAATTTAAAAAAGTTGAATATAACTTGATAACATGGATGCCAATATTCTTTTGAGACGTTAAAATTTGTTACAAAATGAAGAATTGCATTTCTAATAAAAAAAGTTTTTATCTAAATATATTATTGATTTTTTTAAAAAGAATCAACATGTAAAGTGCAAATAATAATAACATAATTGACTTCAAAATTTGAGTAGCTTCTTTTTCGTTGATAGGTAAAGAAAAGTATTGTATAAACCATCGCATATTTGTATTGTATAGACCATCGCACGACGTGAAACTAATTATAGAAAAGAAAATAATTATATAGGGGAAAGGCGCCTATGATGGCATAGCACCTATAATGGCATACCAATCATATTTCCATAAAAAAAAATTTGGTTTTGGTGAAAAAGTGAATAGATCTACATGACTATACTGACTTTACATTAGTTTTAGTAAAAATACGTCCCTTGTGTACAAATATTGTTTTTTATAATCTTTATATATTTATAATCTACAAAAATCAATTTTGGGATGTACTGTTGTAGTTTTATTCCCTTCATATTTTTAAGATTGTGATTTAATATTAACTGTGCAGAATGGGAATTTTCATGCATTTTATATAAAATTTTGTGCATTTAGCGGAATATTTACTTTAATTTTATCTTTTGAACAAGGCAGACACAGCTTGTTTTTATGAAAATGATAACTTCTTCCCATGATGGCATACTGATGAGTTGGGTGTGTTGCAATATTGACAAGTTCCGAAAACTTTCTTTTTTTATAAGAAAAACTTATTTTTAAGTGAAGTAAAAAGAAAGCAATGCTCCAAAAGTTCTTTTTTGATCCAAAAAATACATAAAGCGCAATATACCCCATGCGCATGCGCGAAACTTTACAATGCTGCTGTGTAGCATGAAATGGTAAATTAGGATGGTTCCGATTAGTTTCTGATCCTAACCAGCCCCAACCTCTCCTATGATATCATAGGAGCAGTGGTTGCCAGTTGATGGCATACTTGTGCTTTTTTTTAAAACAAGAATAACTTATAAAAAAAAAAACTGATGAAAACTTCGAGGGTTATTATTGTTCTACATTTAACAAGGAATGTATCGATATCAAAGCTTTTATTATTGGTCTTTAAAGTACTGAATAATGAAGCTTCAAAGTTAAGTATGCTATCATAGGCGCCTTTCCCCTACATAGTGTCGATCTGTGTAATTTAAACCAAAATAACAAAAAAGTAATCTGTATTGACAAATATTCAAAAAAAAAATTAAAAAGATTTTGAGGTTTAATACCTGCTCTGACCTAAAATGCACCACCGCACTGTGATTTAGAAACACTTAAAATACTGTGTTTTGGCCAAAATACAGTTTTTTGAGTAGCGCAATTTAAATAATGTTACTATTTTCTAACTAACTATTTTCTAAAGCTAACTATTTTCTACAGTTTCTTATGATTCTAGCGGTATAAAAAAATAAGTACTAAAATAATAGATTTAAACATTAATTTATGTTTGAAAGTGACCGAAAACAGCTTTTTTATATCATTAAAATTTTATCATTAAAACTCAATTTTCTCCCTAAATACAAAACCTTTCATTTTAATTTTGATTATATACAAAGATATTAGATAATTTTTTAATTTTATAAAATATTTGAAATATGTATTAATACATCTCGTAGGAAATGCATTTAAAAAATGTAATTTTAACAAGTTTAAACTGATATTTATAAATACACTTTTTACCTTATACTTCCTTCACGAAGCCAATTCCTTTTTTAAAGAGTTTGTATCATTCTAAACGAAACTAAAAAAGTTAGCTGTTCCAACTTGCCCATTTTGAAATAACGTGGTTTTAAAAAGCTCATTTTATAAAAAAATTAGCGACAAAAAAGCTAATATGCAAAGTTTACTAAATATCAACTTAATCTAGTTATTGAGAACAGAATTGGTAAAAAAATAAATTACTTCAAAATTTACTTTTTGATTATATATTTTTTAAAAACAAAAATGGTTCCCCCTGACCATGTTTGACCTTTTTTTAAGATATATGTCTTCTTTTGTTGTCTTACTTTTTTACATCATAGAGCGAATTTTTAGCAATTTTAAATGAATATTTTTTAAAAAACTATAAAGCGTAAACTTCCTTTCTAAGAATAAAATGAGGAAAAGGGAGGGGGCGGGGTGTGTGGCGAATCCTTTATAAGTGCCAAAAAAATGCTTGAAGCATCTTAATAAACAGGAAAAGAAGATTTTTTAATATCATTAAATTAAAGTTATTATACAGTTGCCTTTTTTTTTTTTCTCTCTCTCTCTCTTCTCTCTTTTCTTTCTTTTTTTTTTTTTTTTTTTAGGACTCTCTTTTTTTTATTTTTATATTTTATGTTTTTTTTTCTAATTTATTTTCTACTTAAATCAGGTTACGTTCAGATGGTTTTTATTTCCGGCAAAATAAAGCTTGAACTGGTTTAATCTTAGTTTTATTTTGGGCTAAAATAAAATTTTATCGTTTGTTAAATTGTTTTGTTTTTACTGTTCGCTTTTCTTAAATAAAGTTAAGATCAATCAAGATTAATCTAAGCAAGCGCCATAATTCTTAGACAATTTACATTCAAAAAACCACCCAAATTTAAATTTTATGTCTATCCGAGTAACAGCCAAAATTTATTTGTCTAGAAACACTCTCTGTGCTCAAAATAAAGTTCAAAATAAAATAAAGTTCAAAATAAAATAAAAATCAAAATAAAATAAAGTTCAAAATAAAATAAAGTTCAAAATAAAATAAAGTTCAAAATAAAATAAAGTTCAAAATAAAATAAAGTTCAAAATAAAATAAAGTTCAAAATAAAATAAAGTTCAAAATAAAATAAAGTTCAAAATAAAATAAAGTTCAAAATAAAATAAAGTTCAAAATAAAATAAAGTTCAAAATAAAATAAAGTTCAAAATAAAATAAAGTTCAAAATAAAATAAAGTTCAAAATAAAATAAAGTTCAAAATAAAATAAAGTTCAAAATAAAATTTTAATTTTGTTAATGCTGTTTTTTTTATGCTTTTAATTATTATTATTATTATTATTATAGTTGTAGCCGTAAATTTACATAGAATGTACACATACAGCGAGCAGGGGAAACACCCCACTATAAACAACCAGTTTTATAAATATTTGTTCCAAACTTTTTCCACAACCAGGAGTCTAGTCTATTTTTGAAAGAAAGTACAGTGGAGTACAAAGTTATTTGCTCTGGTAGATTGTTCCAGTATTTTGCTGATCTATTATACAAATGATTATATCTTGGAAGACAGTTTAGAACATACTCACGCCTTATTTTAGAATGGTGACCACGAGACACGGAGTTAATATATTTTGGTAGATATTTATCATTAACTATATCAAAACGATGTATTAATTTAAAAATTTGGATTAAATCGCATCGAAGGCGTCGAAACTCAAGTGATGGTAGGTTTAATCTTTTTAGCCTTTCGCAGTATTGAAGATGCCTCAAGCTGTAAGCCCATTTTGTAGCTTTGCGTTGAACAGATTCAACCAAAGCCATATCAGCTTTTAAAAAAGGAGCCCAAATGGACACTCCATATTCAAGATGTGGTCTTATAAATACTTTATATAATTTGAGAGCCATTTTTTCATCAATGAAAGTGAATGTCTTTTTCAGCATACCGAGAATTTGTAAGGACTTAGAGACAACTGTTTGAATATGAGCGCTCCACTTGAGGTTAGATGTAAAAATGACTCCTAAATCACGTTCTTTAGTAGAGCTTCTTAGAGATTGGTTGATTCCTTGGTTATTTTGAAGAAAGTAATTGTAATGGGAGTTGTTTCGACCGTAATGAATGACGCAGCATTTTGAAGTGTTTAGCTTAAGTAACCAAGTGTTTGACCACTCGTATACCAAGCGTAGACGATCCTGCAGATCAACAAAATTAGATTGCGATAAGGTTTTAGAAAAAAGTTTAGTATCATCGGCAAATATCTCAGAAGTTTCAGTGAGTTTTGCGAGATCATTTGTGTAGAGAATGAAGAGGAGCGGGCCGAGAACAGAACTTTGAGGAACACCACTGAGAACATCAACCCATGCAGAGCTGGTATTGTTAATTGTAACGCGTTGCTTTCTGCCCACTAAAAAAGATTTAATCCATTGTAGGAGTTTGCCGTTTATTCCAAAAGATCTTAATTTTAACAAAAGTCTGTTGTGAGGTACAGAGTCAAACGCTTTGGCAAAGTCAAGATAGATTACATCAATAAATTGGTGAGATGCTATGGAGGACGAAATGATATCAAAAGTTTCTATTAGGTTAGTTACGCATGATTTATGATAAAGGAAGCCATGTTGATTTGCAGAGAGCATTTTATTATCGTTAATGTGCTTTAAAATTTTTTTCTTTACAAGTTTTTCAAAGATTTTACAGGCAACAGATGTTAGTGAAATAGGTCTATAGTTTTCAGCAAGTAATTTATCTCCCTTTTTTTTATAGATCGGACTAATATTTGCTAATTTCCATTGAGTGGGTACTACTCCAGAATTAAAGGATTTATGAAAGACTTTTGTTAATGGAATTGCAAAGCTTTTGGCACATATCTTGAGTATTAAGGGATGCAAGCCGTCAGATCCGAAGGATTTATAAGGCTTTAGATCGGCAAGTTCCTGAATAATATCTGAGATAGAGAAATCCAAGTTTTCATTATAAATGCATTCAGAAAGAATACCACTTTTATTTAGCAAAGGAAAATTTTCAGAACTTTCAAGTGTAAACATAGATTTAAATTGAGAGTTCAG